AACACGGATTAGATGTAAGAAAGATATATTTACAACAGGTTACAGAGATAGTGTAAGCGGAGCTTACTATATGTTAGTGTCCAATACTGGTAGTCGTACGCGGCTCTCACTGTCTCTCTGTATGTCACTGTGTGTCACACTCTAGAGTGCTATGTCACCTACTTAATATAGGCCTGGAAGAGTCTATTGTGTAGGTAGTTTCCGGTCTCACAATAAACACTTAATTTTATGAAAACTTGAGAAATTTAATGTGATAATTTTTAGTGACTATATTAGTTAAAAGCACTATTCTTTGTAGAATCTACCAATTTTTTTTTTTGCAAAATCAGACTTACCAAAAATCTGTTCTGAATTAAAAAACACAATAAAACTAAGACATTATTTAATTAGAGAAGCTTTTAATTGATTTTTTTGAATAATATATATTAAAAACAAAATTGTCTGAAGAAAAAAAAATTTTCAGTGAAAAATGAATTTTTACAAGATTTGTTTTCATTTTTTTACAATTTTAAATTGAATAATTTATAAAGTTTTTGAAATCTTTTAAAATTCTTGTTTTAAGGGTGTAACACTTAAGAAATAATGTTATTAAGTAAAATTATATTTACTAATCATATATTGTAAAGCTTATTACAATCTGATACCCCCAAATATTTTTAAAAAGAATTTTGATTTGTTTTTGTATGTGTATAAACTTGCAGAATTTGTAAGTACGGATGTTCATATCTGACATTATCATTAAAAGGTCACGTGTCTTAAGGGTTGTCCCTCCCCCACTTACCCTTTATCGGCTGCTAGCAATTCTGTTCCACCATACTTAACTGTCAATAAATTGATTAACATGTCAATAAAACAAGACCCCATTGTTAATGCTTGTATACAACATTTTATGCTATAACTATCAAATCAGATTAATTTAGCTTAAAATTTTCCTATTTTTCTCAGATAACATTTCAGAAATATATATTTTATTTTTGCAAGATTTTTAAAACCGAAAATTAACTTTTGTTTACAAAGGTGTCAAAATAGCTGATTTCATCAATTTTACTGGAAAAAAAATTGATTCCAATCTATATAATTTCTGTTTGAAATACACCACAGAGTATTTTGTTTACTGGAAATAGTAAAGTTAATCCTTTAGCTTTCAATTAAAGCTAAAATTAAAGCTTCAAGAAAGCTTTTTCATTTTTAAAAATTCATTTTAAACCTCATCTATCATTCATGAATTAGTGGAGGTACCTATTTTACATGTTTTACAAATAACAAAAATAATTACAACCATATCCAAAACTATTATGGATATGATTAGAACCAAAAATACCTATAAAAATAATAATTCTGAAGCAGGTATATATAAAATAAATTGCCAGAACTGTTCATCACAATACATTGGGGAAACTTGCAGAAATTAAAAAAAAATTATCTATGAACACAAAAGTTTATCAAATGAATTAGTTCTACATAGAAATAAATCCAACCACAACTTTGATCTCAAGAATACCACACTTATCAAAAGAGAAACTAACTTACTTAGAAGGAAAATTCTTGAGAGTGCTGCAATCGAATGTTAGCAAGATATAAATTTGTGCCCTGGATTATTTCCAATATCTTCATTCCTGAAAGAATTACTACTTTCCCAAGCCAAGAGAACTGACTACAAAAATTGAAAGAAAATGGTTAAATCCATAACCTCATGTTATTCAAATTATATCATACATAAATTAATCCCAAACTAAATTAATTTAAATACTAATTTGATAGTAATTTCAAAAACATCAGCTAATCACTTTTGTTTATTATACATTGAATTGTATCACTTCATAGCTTGCCTGACTTTTCAGCTAACCTGATAAATATTTATGAGCAAAAAAAATGTTACAAAATAAAATCCTTGCATTTGTCTTGATAAAGTTCCTCAGAGGATGAAACATGCCAGCTAAGATAAGTTTCCCTTTGTCTTTATTTATATTGTCCTTTTACATTATATATATATATATATATATATATATATACACACACACACATATGGAGAGAGAAAGCGGTAGGGTATATGTTCTATAATTTCCTATTAATATTTCAACCAAAATGTTATCTGTTTGGTGTTTAAACTAATTTAATTAGTTTAACTATAATTTTTTTTTGAAATGTGTGTTTACTAGCCTAAGCTTGTTTTTTACTGTCTTGATTTGTTAAAGAATCCTAATTTTCATTAAATATACTCTACATATATTAATAGAAAATATGGACTTCACCAACTTAAAAGCCTCTTTCTTTAAGTATCTTCTTTCCTAAAAATATTACCATCTTTCTTTCTCCTTTATTGCTTTTTTTAAGAGGGGGTTCTTACAACTATCTCTCTTTCTTTCTTGATTATTATCCTTCCCAACCTCTATACATTTATTCATATATGTACTCATATTGTCATACTATTTATTATTATTTGATTTATTATATCTTCATTTAATTCTAAAATCTTGTTTTCTCCCTTTTTTAATTTTCCCTTCTGCTATTCTCACCAATTTTCTTTCTCTCTTTTCTACTCTTTCTCCCCAAATAACCCCAACCCTCACAGCTCTTGGGTTTACCTAGCTACTGAGATGTTGACTGTGCATTTCCCTCTTTCTTCATCCTTGTTGGTAATTGCCAGTCTCTTATGATTGCCAAGAATTTCTTCACAATTTAAGGATACAATGCCACATAAGCATTGGCACCAAAAGAATGCCAATAAAATTGAGGAGGTGAATGCTGCTAGTATCTTAGAAACATATCAAAGTCTTTCAAGCGTTCTACAAGGTTGCATAATTTTTTCATGTTTAAAAAATTTATTGGAAAAAAAACTGTAATGAAAGAATACTACTATTAGTTCTTGATACACATCACAATGAATACTTTGATGATACTGTAATTTTCTAAAATGCCCATGACACACTTTATCATCATTTTATAATAGTGTTTATGCAGAATAGACAACATTACCAGCTGCAGATAAAATATCTGACAAATAATGTTGAGTATTAATCTAATATATAAACAATATATGTATATTCTTGTTTCATATGTGTGTGTTTAGAATGATGGACAACTGAAAAGAGAATGGGAAAGTAGGAATAAGACAATCCATTATTCAATAAAAACAAAGGATATTTTGACTTTTGCTATACAGAGCATTATCTAAAAAAGGTTTAGTTACATTGTGAATACTTCATAAATATAAAAGAGAATTTAAAGATTCTCTCATTTTACATATATAAAGAACATGTGAGCCAAATGACTATAAAACAAGACTAATCTAAAAAATATGGATAAAAAAATAGAATATGAGAGATTTATTCACAATTTGACATTTTTGTTAATAAAATAAATTTGAAATATTAGTGAATACTTTTGTGAGATTAGAAACAGAAAATATTTTATAATTCCAAATAGTTTTGGAATTCAGCCTATGAAGACATTTAATTTCATTCTTTCTATTGTGAATCCGTTTATAGTTTTATTTTTGTTAGAATAAAAAATTACTTCTTCTAAGTAAAAGTATATTTCTTTCTTGTATCTTTTTATAATGAAATTGTTCTTTTAACTTTATTCTGTAGCACTCAGTTTTATCAACTGATTTCTGTTCTATTCATTGCATTCTCTCTAATTCATGGATTTTTTCAAATCAATTTTCTACTGTATTTATTCTTTAATTTTCATTATTTCACTCACATATTCCATTATATTCTGATATGCTCAATATATTCTACTTATACTATTCAATAAATATTACATCTATTCATGTTTAAATCTACTCACTCATATTCTTTAATCTTATAATCTTCATTAATCTAAATGATATAGTCTATTCATTCTACTTATTCCAATCATTCCATTCAATTAGATTTTATTTCTTCCATTTTTATTATCCATGCATGTGTGATAAATATTGCTGTTAATAAAATCAATGAAGAAAATGTTTAAGATATTTTTATCTTGTGTTTGTTTTTATAATTTTTTTTTTTACTTTTCATTGTGTCAGGTTTTATAGTCATAATTTGAACATTTTCCCTTCTATTGAATTTTTCAATATAATTGATTTTTTTTCTTCTGATATTACAAAATGATTTTATTTCTTTATAAAACAAGATTACTCAAAAAAAGAAAAGTATATGACAAAAGAAAAAAAAAGGCAAAATGTTTTTAGTATTTTTATTAAATCTTTTATTATTCATATAATATTATTCTTCTACTAGCATTGTACCTATAAAAAATGACAAGACAGTACTTTTACCAAGGATCAGAGTACCTGTATTGCGCTACCTAGTATTTAGTATTGCTTCCCAGCAATTCTGTCTATGTAGTTGTGACTTCTGTGAAGTGTTTACTATCCATGCACACATATCTTTCTCATTGCTATAATTCTCATATTTAGTGGGTGTATGTGTTTCAATATATATTCTTTTTTCCAAAACTGAAATTAATGTCTACCAGTATAGAGAATTTTGCTGTAAAAAAATATACAAGGATGATAAAAACCTAACAAAATTCCAGTAAGATATTTTGATCATTTCTAAGATACAATGGTTCAAAGCTTAATCTAACAAATGGGTAATTTTGCTTTTACATGATTTGAATACATTTGTTGTTACACCATTTTTTTTTTGTGTGTATATATATATATATATATATATATATATATATATATATGCAAAAGGAAAAATGAATTTTTTACACACACACACATATATATATATATATATATATATACAAAAAGGAAAATGAATTTTTATACACACACACACACATATATATATATATACAAAAGGAAAAATGAATTTTTATACACACACACACACACATATATATATATATATATACAAAAAGAAAAATGATTTTTTAACATGCACACACACACACACACACACATATATATATATATATATATATATCTTGCAGTTTTTCTCTACTTTTTCTTAAATGCCAGGATAACATGTATGTGAAACATTTTTTTTTCTTTCTTTTAGGGGGTGAATGGGTTTGAGGAGTTACGAAAAATTGTGAAACAAGGTGCTGAGTTTGCCAAGGATGTGGCAAGTATCATGCAAGAGAGGTAAGTTGTAATTTCTTTTTTTGTATTTTTACTTTTATTCCAGAATTATTCACTTTTTTCTATTTGGATTTATCTTTTTTATTTGGATATATTTAGTCATTATTATACTATAATACTTCTCTAATTAATCCTGTTTATTTGGGATACTAAACTTCTCATTTCACTTCATCTTCTTTTGGTTTTACATAGGAAACAAAAAATATGTACATATATTTTAAACTTGGCATAAAACTCCAAACTCATTTTTTTTTGTGAGATAACAAAAATACCATTTTTTTTAAATGAGTGTATAAAAACTAGCTTTAATATTACATTGGATTAATCAAAACTTATTAACTGAAAATAATATTGCAAATATATAATTATAATGATAATTAAAATTAAAAAACAAATGCAGATAATTGTTCACCCAAATTTAAATAAAGCACAATTGTATAAAATTGTTAGGAAATAATTATACAGGCCATTACTGACAGCAGCATAAAAATTACATTAAAGAAGTTATTTTCTGGCATTGTGAAACAACATGGAAGATGTTGAACTTAATGCTTCTTTTTATTGGAATTTTCTTGATTAAAATTATTCCTTTTCAGTTATTGGTCTCTAGAAATTTTGATTAGTATTTTTTGTATGAGAAGACTCAGTCACATTACAGAAGTTCTATTGTAAAATTTTTGAACTATCAATAAATGAAGGTGAGGAATAGAAGGTTGATGATGGGCTGAGCAATCATTACTGTACTGTTTCTTCCTTGTTAATTAATTTTTGCTACAACCATTAATATCTCTACTATTACAAATGTTTGTTGCATTTTACAGATTCCCATTATTAATAATATAATTGTACTGGTCATTGTTATGCTTCCTCTTCTTTAAAAACACAATCAGCATATATATACAGCAACATCTAATGGTGTAATGTTAGTAGACATCTAGTTTTTAAAGATTTGATCAAGAATTACATTTGCAATCTTGCTGGGATAAGGATTGAACCATAATAGGATTTTGTTAAAATAAAAAAAATTCAATACTTAGTAATTAATATTTTGAAACCCATGCAATTTTCATTCCAGTCTATGATTTACAATTTAGGTATATGAGGTATATGATCACAATTTGTAATTTGTGTTGTTGGTGCTGAATCATTCAAGACCCATATAAGAATACAGCAATGAATAAATTCATTGCTTCAACAAACTTCATCATTACCTAGAAGCTATGGTTAGCGTATTTCCAGTGGATAATTCTGGTAATACCTGCACAATGCTAAAACTTATCTGCTCTAATATCTGTGATCGCCAACCAATCATATTTATATTAACATGACTAGTTGAGATATCAATGTTTTTACATTTTGGGACCATGATACTGCTCTTCACAACTTCTACTGAAAGTCATAATCAGATTTTATAACATTGAATAATATTTAAAATAAATTTCTGTATTTTCCTACATTTTCATTGATAAATTTTAGTTTAGTTTCTTTGTAAAATATGTAAACATCAAAATGTTGTTATTCATATTTATATTTACTTTTTTTTTTTAATATTATTGCTTTGAATTCCAGAACAAAATTGAACACATTTTTTTCTATCAGGAAGGCTAAAATGCATTATCCACTATATACTTATACTCACATTCACTGTTTGATTTCTATAAATATTCAATAGGTGTTGTTGAATATCAGTGGGTGCAATTTTTAATGGCGCATTTTTACTTCATTCACATTTTCATGTGAAATGCTATTTTGCCAAATTTTTTCTAAGGCAAGAAGAAAAATTATTTGTTATTGGTGGGATGGTTCAACCTCTACTATCATACCAAGCAACATATGTCATGGGCTAATAACTATAATAAAATAGAAGGCATTTTTCTTTCAAAACTATCTTTTTGTGTGTGTGTGTGTGTGTGTGTGTGTGAGAGAGAGAGATAAATTGTGTTTATATACAAGATGGCTACCAAAATGTATACACACTTTGGTAAATACTAGTAATGTTGCTAAACTTCATTTTATACTATAAAATATAATACATACAATTTCCAAAACAATTTTAGCAAAAGTTTTATTGTTCCAATGTAAGTCTTGTTATATATTTTTGATCCTTTTAATCCTAATAGGATATATATATACACAATCCTAAAAAATATCTGTTAATAACTAGTTGTTATTTTCTGTTGGGATATTTTTATCCTACCTCTAAAACACTTAGTTTGTATTTAAAAACACATTGTATCTGTTATAGACAAGCGTATGGTTGCAAGAAGGAAATACGACAACAGCAGAAATAGATTTACGTGGTTTATTTCAATAGGAATGTGTGGGTTTGGGACAGCTACCTTGTGGTATAGTTCATAAGCCGGCTGCTTACCTGGGTTGATCTCTCATAGTAGTTCTCGCTGGTTGGCGCGACGCTACTGCTGCTGACTGCTACTGGCTGCTCAGACCGACCGTGACTGATCTCTTCCCTGGCCTCCTGTTGACTGCCGTTGTACTTCACTGTGTGACCCTTTTTATGGCGTTTTTTATGGCTTAACAGGCTCGAAAAACGACGTGAATATAATTAGGAGGGAAGCATTTTTATTGGTTGAAAAATAGAAACACTTTAAAATATTATTTTATTTTTCGACTGGAACTCGTGCGTCAGGAATATGCGTAAACGACGATAATGGTCATTTTGTGACGGGGCCTTGTTCCGTTCACATCCGGCTCTTGCTCTTGAGTATGTTAGTTTATTTGCCTGCAAATCAGCTGAGATATGTCTTATTTTATTTTATAACAATCTAAAACATAGATAATGAATTCATGAACATAAAAATAATGATAAAGATGTGCGCAAAAGTTAGATCCTATTTAAATGATTATAACTTGATAAAATTTGTATGTAATGTTTGGAGACTTTTTAATATGCTATTGTTATATTAATGTTTATTGATTATTTAAAACTGCTGTTGTCATTATTTTATGCAACTGCAATAATGTAATGTTCACATTTCCACTTACAATGTATCCATTATATTTAATATACATTTTTTTTTATTATAGACTAGGCTACTTGAATTGATGGACATTTTATTTACTTATGTACTCACCAATATGTATGCAAAAAATGTTAACTAAAAACTTTTAAATTCCTAAATAAGGAGTTTGCTTAGTCATATAATCTGAAACTTCATTGGTTCAAAAATAGATTTCTGCATTTGATATAAAATTGATGTCTTCAGAGAAATAGAGTAATGGAAGAAAGATATGCTTGTTGGTAAGAAATATGTCCAAGAAATATGTGGTTAGATCAAAGGCAGGACAAAATGATATTAGAGAAACATTTTTTTTTTGTTTCTTTCAGTGTTGAGCATCTAAATATTGGGACTTCAATTGGATATTTGTTTGTGTTTGAGTTATTAACTGTGAAAATTTTTTTTGTTGTTCATTTTAATATTTGAACTTTCCCTCTATAGAACAGTTCATTGTAAAAATTTAAATGGGTGAAAATTATTCCTTATAAATTTTATATTTTTCTTAATATTATCAGAAATTTTATATTATGATTATGACAAAAAGGCTTTCACTGTATATTTGTTAAACCAAATCTATTTACTACAGAAATATAGTCTTAAAAACAAAATCTTTGTCTTAAAAAGTTTACTTTTGAAATGTCTTCCTACCAATTATATTAAAGAATATGATTTCTTTTTAATCTTTCAGAAATGAAAATCTTCATTCCTTTTTTCTCTTTCTTTCCCATTTCTTCTATGTTACTTTCTTTGAAAACTTTTTGTTTGGTTGATATTTATCCAACATGCAACAAATATTTGAAATGTAAGGCTGGATTTGTTGACTTCTTATTGTGATTAAAGAAGCTATCAGTCCTTTTCAAGACTAGAACACTAACTCCCACAGCAAGTCAACTAAAATGAGGTTGCAAACTTTATGAAATCTGAACTTAGATTTTGACTTTTTCAATTTTCTCCACAAATTAACTAACCACAAACAGATGACAAGTCTTTTCTCTTTCAACATGTTTTGATAATGATTTACTACAGAATTATGAAAATTATTTCATATCATATTGATTCCTAAATGATGATTGGTTATTTAAGAGTTTTGAAGTGAATAGACATTTTTTAAAAGTTTAAAATTGTAAATGTTCTCTTCTTGATATTAATGTTACACTATGCTCAATAGTAATCAGCTAGTCTGAAACACTTTCAACTTTCTCATATTTCTGGATGTCATTTGACAAAGATATTGTCTGTTTAAATGTTATTGCCATGTAGTTTTACCTTTCACACTGTGAAGTATAAATATTTATTACAGGAGAAAGCTTATTTTTCATAAGCATTTTATCTTTTTTTTTCTTTTGATCATGGTAATGTATTTGTGCATCTAGACAATTACTGTTATTGGGTGACTAAAAAATTTGTTCACTTATTAAGTAGAAAATTTAGTTAATAATCCAAACTTTTTATTCAACCTAATACAAATGTAGGCATCAACTGCAAGAAGACAATGCAAAAGTGTAAATTGCAAATTGGAGATACTAAAATGAAACAAGTGTATAAATTTAAATATCTGGAAAGTGTTTTAACAGAGGATTGAAAGCATGACACTGAAATCTGAAGGCACATTGGGATAGCAAAAGTTGCCTTCCAAGAGGTAAGCAGTGGAATAAAAATTAGAAAAACTTTGCTAGAATCAAGGAAAAGAGTACTAAACTGTTATATGATATCACTCCTTCTCTGTAGCAATGAGTGCTGGACAATCTCCTCAAAGATGAAGAAGGGACTTGAAGCAACAGAAATATGCAAAGAAGGATGCTGAGGATACCAAAGACCAATCATGTGAAAATTTTAGAGAAAATGGAAATGAAAAGAAAACTAATACTTAACATCATGAAGAGACAGTTGAGGTTTCTGGGGCACATAATGAAGAAGAAGGGCTTGGAAAACCTGATATTCATGGGACACATAAAGGGCAAGAGGGACAGAGAACATAGCATACTT